TTTAAATGTAGACACGTCTCCCCATTTCTTTTTTTTTTTTTTTAAAGATGACCAGTAAGGGAATCTTAACCCTTGACTTGATGCTGTCATCACCACACTCTCCCAAGTGAGCCACAGGACGGCCCCTTTTTAAAATTTTTAATTAGCCATAATTTTCAAACAAATTTCCTTCAGGAGAAAAAAATGTGGCAGATTTTCAGTGAAGCTGATATCTGGAAGAGCCTCTACAAAGCCCAAGTCCCTTGAGAAAGCCAGCTTAATTTTCAACAATGCAACATAACGAGTAGGATTCCTCCAAACATTGTGAGTGGATACTGATTCTGGTTAGAACAAATGTGTCATCTACCACTCATCCTTAGGCGTAAGGCAGACAGCCTGAGAGGCCACACTGAACCCACAAAGATTTTGAAAAAAAACTGGTCTACATTAACATACTCAATATAATCTAGTCTTAATTACACACAAATGGATAGTTCATTCTATGGATTTCTGAGCCAAATCTTTAATACAAGATCGACTGTTCTTCACCATCAGTGTATTCTCCTCACCATCAGGTAATACAGGCTTAGAAAAGCAAATTCTTTTCAACATCAGTACAACCCAAAAAAGACTAAAATAAGTCTGGTTTAAAAAATAATGCATTTTCAGACCAAGAAATTTCTTTAAATTCTGAATTACTGATACCAGTGCTCCCTACATTAGCAGAGATAAGTGAAAGTTAAGTGCACTTGAAACATAATGCTGCCCTTACCATAAGCTCAAGGAGAATCCAGCCACAGTCTTGAGACTTCCCCAGAGGTTGTTGCACCGTGAGACAGGCACAAGCAGAGCTCAGCATAGTAAGGTATGTAAATACAAAAACCTCTATAAGAAATATTGTGTCTCCTGGCTATAGCCCTTTAGGCCAGATTGGTACAAAACAGAAGCAGAAGAGTCACAATGTACCGGTGCCTGCCTGACTCCTTGTCCCTGAGTTCCTGGGTGAAAGGGTTCAATATGTCTCATTAAATCCATCCTTTGTTCAAGGACCTACAATGACTCTATTGACCCTTCTATAAAACACATAACAGAGTCCAGCCTCTGGGTCCCCTCCACCCTCTTGCCTGCTCTATCCATGGCTTGACCAACCCACATTTTCTCCAGTCACTCTCATTTATTTCTCCTCACCACACACACAACTTAGTCATTCATACCATCACTGCACACTGTACATTCTATACTGTTTGGAAGATCCTTTCTTTTATTCTTAACACAAGGCAACTATTTCATTTACTTGAATGCTCACACTTATTTTGTAAAGATAGAAAGTATCCTATCCAAGGTCACACAGTAAAAAGTAGAACCAAGATTTGAAACAAGGTCCATCTAAATCCATAGCCCTTATATCTTTATGACTATCCATAGCCTCCCAAGTCCATTTCAAAATTTACTGATTCAGAAATCTCCCCTAATTTCTCATTGATTCTTGTTACTTCGTTTTCTCAGCTCTTAGATAATCCATTTATAGCACATTAAGCTTGGTTTTATGTTGTTTCCTAGATGCTAAAGCTTATAATAATAGTCTGCCTTCCCATTTATATACCACCTACCCCCTACCCCCCCCAAGGGCAAGGACACCTGTCTTTACATCTTTTATATCTCCCCAAAGCTTGTCACTGGAGCTCAGAGACTGCTTTATCCACAGGAGTGTTCAACCATTATTCATTAAGAATTTTTATTTAAAAAATCAACTTCCAGGGCGGCCCGTGGCTCACTTGGGAGAGTGTGTGCTGATAACGCCAAGGTCACGGGTTTGGATCCCTATATAGGGATGACCAGTTAGCTCACTTGGGAGAGCGTGGTGCTGACAACACCAAGTCAAGGGTTAAGATCCCCTTACCAGTCATCATTTTTTAAAAAAATAAAAAATAAAATAAAATAAAATAAAAATCAACTTCCTTCTATCATATTAAAAAAATCAACTGAATTCAGGCATTCATGATAAAACTGCCTTGTATCTACCTTCCAGTTATACAAATTTTCAATTATCTGAATTTATCAAGGGCTACTGAGAAGATTCCACAGTCTATTATTCCTCAGCTATGTTCCCATAGGAAAGACATTGCTAAAGTCACATTTCAAAGTATTTTCCCATTGGTGGAATGAGTGTTTGGGATAGGGAGAATGGTATTTCCCTATAGAAATACACACACACACACACACAAAATTATAATGGCCTCTGCCAGCATCCTTAGCATGCCTGAGATATTCAGGGGCTCCAAAACTTTAACAAGTGGCACTTAATGCCCCCATTACAATCTGAAAACTCATTTTTAATACTGAATTATTCCATCATAATTCACTTGGTTACATATATTGAATCTCAAAATTCCAAACGAAGCCTTCTGAGAACTGGGAATAGCAGTAAGCTACTGGGCTGCTCCCTACTTATTCCTAGCTTTCTTCAACCCCTTCAATCCCCACCTCCTAGAATAAAATATACAGTTGAACTAGGGGAAGTTGCTAGATACAAAATACAAACAGAATTTACCCAGAGAGCATCACTAACATTGGCACCAACCAATTCACACAGATTAAAACAATTATTGATAGTCAACAGACTCTGGGAGGGTGTATGTGATTTTTAAAAATTAGATTTTATCTGATAGTTTTTTGTTTGATTTGGCAGCTTGCCAGGACAGGAATCCGAACCCTTGACCTTGGTGTTATACCACTGTGCTCTAAGCAACTGAGCTAACCAGCCAGCCCTAAAAATTTTAGTCTCAAAATTAAATCTTTTTTCAACAGGGGTCTCAAAAGAAAGAGATTAAGCAAATAAAGCTTCAGGAAAACTTCCAAGTTGTTGGTGACATAACACCACCAAAGTCAACTAACACTTAGTATTCATTACTGGCCATCCTGCCTTATACAAGTCAGCAGATCACTTTCGTTGGCAAAGTTTTACATTTTTTTCCTGAAGGAGACTTTGGTATTAAATGAAAGAGATAAGTCAAATCAAGCAAAAACAACAAAAATTAGTAATAGTTTGGAAACTATTTTCCTCCCATCTTTCCTTCCTTCTTGAATGTGTAATGTCCAAAGCAGATATCCTAAATTATTCAATTCTAAATTATTCATGTTAATGGATAGGTATTGGCAGAAAGGTGCTGATAATCCAAAATGGAGGAAAAATAGAAAAAAAAATCTATTTTGGTTTTGGAATATATGTTTTCAGCATATTTACCTTCTCAATTATTCCTAGCATGAGCTAATATTTGTATTCATTTGTAATCTCTAAGTACACAGTAACTCGCCACTTAGTTGGAGAGGTGCTGCCAGGCATGCTCAGTAGCTAGCAGAAATTACCACAGACTGGTATTCAGCAACATCAATTTATTTTACAGTTTTGTTCAGCCTTCAAAATATCAATAATTAGCACAGCAGGTTGGTTAATAACTTTATAAGAACTGCTTGAAAAACAATGAGGACAAAGAGTATAATTAATTCTTCATTGTTTGCCTATAATGTATTCATTTGTAAATTATGCACAGCAAATGTTTAACAACATGTCTGATTCTCTCTAGCCACCCAGCATAAGTCCCCTATTACAGTCTTCTTTGTCTCATCAGGAATGCAATCTCATTTACAAGAAAGGAAATTTTCTAAATGTTTTAAAAAGTTATACAGTAGGGCCGGCCTGTGGCTCACTCGGGAGAGTGCGGTGCTGATAACACCAAGACCCCGGGTTCGGATCCTATATAGGGATGGCCGGTTTGCTCACTGGCTGAGCGTGGTGCTGACAACACCAAGCCAAGGGTTAGGATCCCCTTACCAGTCATCTTTAAAAAAATAAATAAAAGTAAAAAATAAAAGGTTATACAGTATAGAAAACGCTTAAAAATAATTTAGAAACTAGCTATCGTTTTGGACTAGTCTTACTACTTGAACTTCTCCTACTCTGTCTTTTCCTACCTTTGAAATAAGTTCTGAAAGACAAAGGCATCCAGCGCCCTAAAAGATCTCCTAATATATAGTACGTGAAGCCAAAGACTGAAAAATTACAAGCCTCTGATTTTCTAAATAAAGCATTTAGTAATTATAAAAAATTAAATTAAAAAGTAAACGTCAAAGTTCTGCTAATTCTTGGTTTTGCATTCATGAAAAGAAAACTCCCTGAAAAATTTAGGGGGAACCGCTTACATAAAATTTCATCAGTCAGCTTCTTTCAGCTTTCAAATTTTTACATCTATATTGTGCCCAAAGAAGCTACCTAGGTAAGACAGACTACCACGAGGGGGGAGAGAAACTGAGCGCTGGTCCTGTGAGCCGACAAGCTAAAAATACTCCGGCCCAGTAAACAAATCCCATTCCATCCCGACCGGAGCCACACCGTTAACCTAGTAATTATGAGAAGAGTGAGATCACGCAGCCCCCGGCTTACTCATCATCAGCTTCTAAAGTTTCCATCGGCTCATGGTAACTTGAGTTTTTTTCTAAGTTCATAAGCTTGCCCTAGAATCTCTCCTACACACACAATGTCTTTTTCTCTCCCTTCCTCCATTACTGGACGCACCTCAGTTTGACTATCGATAGGGAGAACAAGCTTGTTTTCTTTCATTTTACTTTATATTGAGATTTTAAAATGAACTTTATCCTACTATGGGAGTAGTAACCTGCATCTTAACCACCCCAAAACTCCACCGTCCCTCCCCAAAAGCCCAGCTGACAAGGGGGGATCGTCCAAACTGCCCAGCACAGCTTAAGAAGGGAGGCCAGGAACGGAGGAGGGGGAGGGGAGTGAAGAACGAGGGACGCAGGTGAAGGGGAGGAGTAAAGGGGAAAAGGTTGGGACGAAGCAAGGAGCCGTCAGGGCGATAAGGGGGTGCCGAGGGGAGATGGCTTCGGATAAAATATAATCAGAAAGGAGAAAGGGGATAGTGGAGATCAAAGGAGCAGAGTTTGGGAGTCTGAAGAGGCGGGAGGGGCGGGAGCGGGCGCGGGAGGGTGTCAGGGCTGGGGACTCCGTTACCCTCGCGGCTCCCGGGGCAAGGCCCTAGGCCGGGGCGGAGCGCGGGGCCCGGCCGCCTCTCCTCATTCCTCGGCAGTGACCCCGGGGTCCGGCCGGCCCCTCCCCCGACGACGATGGAGGCGGAGGCGGTGGCGGAGACTGAGACCACGGCTGTTGCTCGTACAGGATCTGGAGCTGCAGCCAGAAGGGACTGGTCTGGACTGGTCTCCTTAATGGCTTTTTCCTTGCTCCACAACTCGTCGCCACTCCGACTCCGGCGGCTTGTTCGGTATCGGTGGCTCTCGGCCGGTCGGCCGGAAACAAGAACCAGTTTCCGGCCGGAGCGGGTTGGTGGTGACACCCAAGCCGCCCCTGGGCCTCTCGTCCCGCCCCATAGCAGCCCCGCCCCGCCCTATAACAACCCCGCTCTTAGCGCCGCTCCCCTGGCTGCGGCCAATTTGGCTCTTGCCCCGCGCTTGACCCCGTGTTTTCCTGGCTCGCTTTCCTAAAGCCTCTGGTCTGGAGTATTCTTGAACCGGAGCTGGAGGGATACAGGGTGGACTCGAGACTTCGGGGTAGAATCGGTTGGCAGAAAGGGGCGGAGTAGTTCTAGAAAGGTGAGAGGGATACTTTAGAATAAGACTGAAATTCTAGTTACTCTACACGGTCATTCTGGAGTGACCAGAGGAAAATTAACGCTTCTTCCAAACCAGTCTCCACCCAGTTATGCATTTCCCTTGTTCCTTCGCTCTGGAAGTGAGATACCCTTCTCTATAAACACTTAATATTTATTTACTTGTATAGCGATGATACCCTATTAACACATTTGCCTTAGATTGTTAGCACAATCAAAAAAAAAGTTATTGGGCCGGCCCGTGGCTCACTCGGGAGAGTGTGGTGCTGATAACACCAAGGCCCCGGGTTCGGATCCCATATAGGGATGGCCGCTTCGCTCGCTGGCTGAGCGTGGTGCTGACAGCACCAAGTCAAGGGTTAAGATCCCCTTACCGGTCATCTTTAAAAAAAAAAAAAAAAAGTTATGTAGCGCTTTTGTTTGTAATGCCTTTTACAACATTAAAGCATAATCCAATTAAAGTATTTAAGTTCCTACTATGTGCAAGGTGCTATGCTCAGTAATATTGGAGGTACAGAATCAACAAGACATAATCCCAGACATCAAAGATCGTACAATTTCGTAAAATATGGCAGAACTCACATATATACTATGAGAGTAATAATGAGCTATGGCAATGAGAACGTGAATAAGCCATCCCTGCCTCATACTAGACCTTCCATATTTGTTGAATGAATGAGTAAATATTAGAAGAATGTGAACTGTTTCAGGTAAGAAGAGCCATTTAATACATACCTCTTTATGACAAACATAAACCAGGGCCAGCCCCTGCTATAATCTAACCAAAGAAATCCTAAATTTTAATTCAGATTCCTAACATTGTGGCACCTGGTTTACATAGTCAAAATAATGTTTATTGTCTAAATTGTACCCATTAAGCCTATGTAAAAACAAATATTACAGTCAACTTTTCTTTCCTTTCATACTTCCTAAAGTCCTTAGTTTTTTTTTGTTTTTTTTTTTTTTAAAGATGACCAGTAAGGGGATCTTAACCCTTGACTTGGTGTTGTCAGCACCATGCTCAGCCAGTGAGCGAACCGGCCATCCCTATATGGGATTCGAACCCGTGGCCTTGGTGTTATCAGCACCGCACTCTACCGAGTGAGCCACGGGCCGACCCTAAAGTCCTTAGTTTTTAAAGGGGAGAGGTAAAGCACAGACATTTTAGAATTATCCAGCTCAGACTGGAAAACTGACACCTAAGAGAGGAAACTTCCTAGATGACTATATCTCTTGGAGATACCCTTGGGTTTAGAGTCGAAGATTTAGGACTTGGCCTAGGGCCAAATATACCAAGGCCAAGCAGGTCAGAGTGCCTTGCGCAGGGCATGCCCAGGACCTACAATACAGGTTGGCAAGCAAAGCCGTTTGGCCTGGGCTTCAAGCAAATTTGGGCTACTGTTTGGCATTAAATTTGAGGAGGAGAGCAGGATGAGATTTAGTCGCCTAAGTTGATTCTAAATCAACTCCACTGATCACACCCTCCCTTTGCTAGCTAAATCCGAGATAGGAGGGCAGGCCCACAGATGAGAAGCCTCAAAAATCCGAAAGCTGTCTTGTTTCATCAAGGCCCTCCATGACCAGGTTATGCCCATCTGTTAACTATGTCTTTCTAGTCTTTACTCCACTGCCACACACTTATCAGGATCAGGTATGGAGTTCAAAGGCACTCTCCACTCTCAGTACAAGGCAGACTTTTTCTTTTGGCAGTAATCACAAAAAGTTTCCTGATTTGAAATCTGGGCCAAGTTGCTGGTCAAAGCCATTTAAGTGACCACACTTTATAGTCTTGCCTGGAAATTTAGGGACCAGGAAGTGATGGGGTTGCAATTGCTTTGTGCCTGTTTCTTTCTCTGACCATCCATCACTCATTGTTGTTTGTGCAGTTGTTCAATGGGCTGCTTGTCTTTGGTCAGCCCAGGCTGTGTGGGTAGCAGTGTGGTCAGCCAGGCTGAAAGCCAGGCCACCTGGGTTCTGGTCCCAGCTCAGCCAGCCCCTAATCCATTAAGTGACTCCCTTCCCATTTCTATGTGTCAGTTTCTCTGCCTAGAAACGAGGGACCTCTTCGCTAGTGATGTGCAGTCATTCAGGCTGTCAGTATGTTGGATTCTCAGAAGCAGCTGTCTGATACTGGTATAGATGTGAGCAGCAGCCAGAACACAGCTGATTATTTTTTGCTGCCAGGTAGAAGAAAAGTAAGGAAAGAAAGTAAAAGCAGCAGAGAAACCCCTGCCAGTATACGCAGAGCCACATGCCTTCAAGTACTATTCAGTACAAAAGTTCTTTTCCATCATCCCAAAGTTTTTGTTTACTCATCATAGCAATTCTAAGGGCTGTTTCAAGGAGCTCTCTGAGCTTTTACTTCACTTTAAGCAAAAGCAGAAAAACCAGAGATTTCCATTTCAACAGAGAAACTAAACAGATACTATTTCCTACTGTGGCTAATGGATAGGGTGGCGAAAAATGTTCAGAGAAAGCTATTTCACAGGAAAATAAAAAAACTACTTGCATTTATATGCTTTTGTGGTAGAAAAGAAAACCAAACCAAAATAACTTCCTTTCTACTACCACCACTACAATTTAGACCCGTGGTTCTGGGGAATTTTAAAAACTATGTATGTACGTGCCTAAAAATCTCAGACTGACTAACTCAGAATTCTTGGGACTGAAGACCATGAATCTATATATTTTTTAAAATATCCAGGGCTCTTATGAATTTAAACACATTGCTAACCTATGACCCAGCAATTCCACTCCTAGGAACTTACCCAATAGAAATGAAAATAAATGTCCACAAAAAACTTATACATGAACGTTCAGAACAGAATAGCCCCAAACTGGAAACATCTCAAATGTGCCAACAGAAAAATGGACACTTACATTGTTCATACAATGTAATACACTTTTTAAAAATAAACTACCTTTAAACAGAACAATATGAATGAATCTCAAAATCATTTGTTGAGGGGATGGGGGGAGCCATTTATGTGAAATTCAAGAACAGGCAAAAGTAATCTTGATAGAAGTCAGAACCATGGTTAACTATTGGGGGGACGTAAAGATTGAATAGAAGGGGACATGAGGAGACTTTCTGGGATGATAAAAATGTTCTATACCTTGATAAGGGTGGCTGTTACACATGTACATCAAACTGTATACTTAAGATCACTGTATGCGAATTTTACCTCAGTTTAAAAAACAGGAAAGAAAACGTCCAGGGATCCTTCATAACACTTAACCAGGTTAAAAATTTACAATTACTGTTGGTTCATTTGATTGATATTTGCTTCACCTGTTAGATTCTGAAGCTCCATGAGGTGAGTTCACCATTTTATGTTTAGTACCTAGTATAGTATCTTATCCATGGCAGTCATTCATTAAGTATCTATTGGGTGAATGAATGAATGCATTGGCAGCCAATTGACAGTTGAGAACCATTGTGAACCATTTCACATCCAGACTCTTATAATAGTATAACTGGGTCTCTCTATTCCCAGGCCCTCTATCTGCTTGCACACTATTGCTAAATTATGCTTTCTAAAATATTTCATTGATCTTTTCTCTCTTTTCAAAAGCTATAGCAGACACGTTGATTGCTTGACCAATGTCCATCCCCCTTCTTCCTCCTTTCTTACAGAAACTTGATTGTGTTCAAGTAGCCATCCTTTTCTATATGGCCACAGGCTTCAGGGGAGATTAGCTCCAGTGGAGGGGGTAGAAGCTGAGTGGGAGGGATATGGGTGAAATGCTAATGGATCAGGGGGCTCCATTCCCCTTCCAGTGCTTGGTTTAGGCATGTGATAGAGTTCTGACCAATGTGAGATATAAAGAAATCTGCAAAAGATTTCTTTGCTCTTACAAACAGACAAAAAGAAAGAATAAATTATTCTGATGCTGAATGTTGTTGGATTTGGAACTGTGCTGGCCAGAGGACAAGCTGACATACTAAGGATGGCAGAGCAAAAATATTAAAAGAATCTGGGTCTTTGGTGAACTGAAGTAATGAAGTAATGAACCCTGGAGTAGTCTTACTTGAAATTCTTGTTATATAAGGTAATAGATCTTCCTTATTGTTTAAACCATTTTGAATTTAGTCTTTCTATTACTTGTAACCAAAAACATCTCAACCTATAAAATGTTATCAACAGGGCTGGCCCGTGGCTCACTCAGGAGAGTGTGGTGCTGATAACACCAAGGCCACGGGTTCAGATCCCATACAGGGATGGCCGGTTAGCTCACTGGGTGAGCGTGGTGCCAACAACACCAAGTCAAGGGTTAAGATCCCCTCACCAGTCATCTTTAAAAAAAAAAAATGTTATCAACAACTCACTATCTGTAAGATGATGTCAAACTTCCTTGGCCTATACCAGGGGTCTTCAAAAAATTCATATTATCTTCCAATTCCAATGACCAGTATTATCTTTTTTTTTTTTTTTTTTTTTTAAAGATGACTGGTAAGGGGATCTTAACCCTTGACTTGGTGTTGTCAGCACCACGCTCAGCCAGTGAGCGAACCAGCCATCCCTATATGGGATCCGAACCCGTGGCCTTGGTGTTATCAGCACCGCACTCTCCCGAGTGAGCCATGGGCCGGCCCCACCAGTATTATCTTTCAATTACATTTTTCTGTGAACTTTTTGAAGTATCCTCATATTTTTTTGAAGTATACTTTTTG